CGTAACTGATCGGGAGCTAGCTTCCTTGGAAGCGACGTGAATAGTCTCGACATCCGAGGCAACAAGGAGAATCTCACCTAACCGCAGCCATCGTTGAAGGATGAGAAGTTGAGAACGACATCCAGATTCTTGATGTATCTAAAACAAGCTACCAAAATGTGCCGGGGTTAGTGGGTGAGAGAAGGTAGCTTTGTTTATGTTTTGATTTGGGATATTTTTGCCGAGCTTGTAATCCGACCTTAATATCCATTTTTGGGATGAATAATATATATTTCATTAAAAAAATGGATTCTAATTGTTCCCAATGCGCATGGAAAGCACCATCAGTTTCTCTATTTATGATCGAGTGCTCCGAAACATAACAAGAGAATATGATAGATAATGCCGGCTAGAGGATTTTCAATAGAGTAAACGACTGACGTTGATGGAGCTTTAGGATTTAAAAAGAAAAAGCTTAATTAGGTGAATATACATAATCAAGATGTAAATTGCAATAGCATGCAGATATTTTTTGAATTTGTAGATTTGGTTGATAAATCAGGGTAAAATGTCTAATTTTTCCTTGCAGTCTACTGACACGCCTACTATGCAGAGAAACCATGGCAAAGTTTTATGACAAAATAATTGACATAGATTGTTTCTTTGGCAAAAAAAATAATGTTGTGGAGATCACGGTTGAACTGTAGTTTTGGTGAAGACTGTTTAGTTCTTAAACAGATTGATTTGCTACTAGATATATCCGGTTATTAAATTGGAGATACAAAGCATGTGTTGTTGTAAGTTTATGAATATCCGGTTATTTTCTGGTTTGTATATATAGTGGTTCAAAAATAAGAATACATTGTAGATTACTGAATGTTTTGGCCTAATAATTAATAATTAGAAAACTGCATCAACATGTATATTTACAAACGTTTATAACCTGACAACCGGTACAAATGTTTATAGCCTGATACATTTACTTCATCGAATGGCTTTCAGTATATAGATTATTTCAAGGAACCTGATTTGCGTAAGTATAACTGGTTTTATAATGTATCTGTTGAACATATTACAGAAAGTATGTAAACAATTTTATATACTCCCTTACGTATCTCTGCGAAAGCCAACGACAAGTAACCAAATAAATGCGAAAAAATATGAAAAACGTAAGAAAACGAATTTAAAGAAAAAGTTGATCTTATTTCGATTTCGCGTAAGAGCGTTGCGATCATTACAAGGGTTTACAAAGGCTTTGGCCGCAAGGCCGTCAGCGAGTTATCAACATAAAAACCTTAAACCTAATCGAGTCGCAGCTCGATAACAAAAGACGGAAAAAGATAAGAAAAAGGATTTGATTGATTTCGGACTGAACCTTATGAAAGGCTGCCTACGTACCCCTTTCGAGGATCAAGTCAAATGTAGTTCAGTTGATAGAGCTGGACCACAGATCGAACCGCCTAGGCGAGTTCGTCTAGTAATTGAGCGCCAGTCATAGAAACCGAACTTGTCGAGAAAAAGCCTAAGTTTCTAAGTGCGGAAAATTCTAAGTCTAGAAAAGTTGTAAAAGTCTCAGATGAGAGCTCTGGATTTCGTCCCTTTGCTTCTGCCCTATGCCTCTTGCTTATATACTCCCTTCCTAGGCGGTTTAGTCTTTCCATTTCTCCCAGATTCGAGTTTAATAGGAATCTTTCATTTATCTCGATCTTTCCTTTTTTCCCACAGAAATCTTCTATTTATCCTCAAACTTGACATTTGTCTTCAAGTTTGACATTTATCTTCTTTCCGCAAGTAAATCGCCAAAACGTCGTCGTATCTTCGGGTTGGAGTTCGTTTAAAGTCGCGAGTGGCTTTTATTGCGTTTTATGACTTTCCGAGCCATTTTGCGATAAATCCGTTTTACGACTTTAGAAGAGATCGTTTCCAAATACGATGTCGTTTTTAGATAAGTTTCTCGAGTTAATCGTAAAGCTAAGCAATGTTCGATGTTTCGATTAATCGTTGCCGTTTTCTACGATTTACTCGGGGTTTTATTAAAAACGCGTTTTGTACGATTTTTACGAAAAATCTCGAATAAATCGTATAGTTTAGGCAATATTCGGGGTTTCGTTTAACCGTTGCCGTTTTATATGATTTCCTCGAGTTCTTTTCGAGAAAACAAAATTTTACGGTTTTTATCATAAAACTCGAACGATAGGACGGATCGAGACAAAACGGGAGACATTTCGACCGTGATTTGGAATACGATCGTGTCGAAGGAGGTATGCCTTGAATCAAGGATATGGGAGATCGAGCCTCTGGATGGTCGGCTCGACGTACGACGAGCTAGTTCAGCTTGGCCAGGTCGCCATATGGCGAACTAGGCGATATGAAGCTGTGGGGCAAAGTTAGCGCCTCTTAGTTCGCCTAACGGCGATCTAGCCGGGACGAGGCTAGTTCGCCCACCGGCGAACTAAGTCGGCTTGGCTTAGTTCGCCGTTGGGCGAACTAGCTGGGACGAAGCTAGTTCGCGTTTTACGGCGGTTTCGATTTTTCGCGGGTTTGTAAAACGGTCCTTCGAGTTTTATAAAACGATTCTTCGATTTTTATAAAACGATTCTTCGAGTTTTATAAAACGATTCTCGAGATTTATAAAACGATTCTCGAGTTTTATAAAACGATTCTTCGAGTTTTATAAAACGATTCTCAAGTTTTATAAAATGATTCTCGAGTTTTATAAAACGATTCTTCGAGTTTAATAAAACGATTCTCGAGTTTTATAAAATGATTCTCGAGTATTATAAAACGATTCTTCGAGTTTTATAAAACGATTCTTCGAGTTTTATAAAACGATTCTCGAGTTTTATAAAACGATTCTTCGAGTTTTATAAAACGATTCTCGAGTTTTATAAAACGATTTTTCGAGTTTTATAAAATGATTCTCGAGTTTTATAAAACGATTCTCGAGTTCTATAAAACGATTCTTCGAGTTTTATAAAACGATTCTTCGAGTTTTATAAAACGATTTCTTTTATATTTTCTGCGGAGACTTTTTGCCATTGATTCCGTTGTGAGCGACTTTGACACCAACAGGTTTTATAATGTATCTGTTGAACATATTACAGAAAGTATGTAAACAATGTTTTCTCACATCTGAATTCATAGGTGAATCACCAAGGATGGGTTTAGTTGGAACGCAAGCAATTGTGGATGCCCCGAGGAGAACTGAATACACTTCTGTGAGGGTTGAGAAACTCTACTCTGTCTCTAAATTTGATATTGGGTGTTCTTACCCTTGAACCTAAAAGCCAAGATGGATCACAACAAACACCTTGATTTTCTTAAGCAAATCATAACTAGTCATTCCTACTATACAATAATCTGTAATGATAAAATTCATTTCCACTTCATGTCAAAAGCCAAAACCATCAATAAAACTTAGCATTGAAGTGACATTTTCAAAAGAAAGGAGTAAAATTTTCAAACCTGAGATGTAGAAAGAGCAATTGGGTCGTTACTTTAATGCCCTTATTTTAAACCTAGAAACTTTAAAGCCTTAGCCTGAATTAACATTTTTTTGGACTCATGGTCAAAGGGGTATGGGCCATGGATCCAAAATATTTTTTGTATAAAAGATAAAGAAAAATAGCCTAATTTTAAGGAAAAAATGTCTAAATTTTAAGAAAAAGAGCCTAATTTTGAGAAAAAAATACAAATACTAAAAGAAAAGGACACAATTTTTTATTAAAAACACATATAAAAAAGTCTTAGATTTTTCAATTACTATAGTATATGTAAAAAAAAAATTTTGCCATGGGCCCAAAAAAACTTTGAGCCGGACCTGCAAATACCAAAAAAAACATAAAGGTTAGATCTTTTTTCGATTCTTTCAAGCTACAAAAACTTATTCATGCTTTTTTAATTACCTTGACAATAAGACTCTTGAAGCAATCTCTTTAAGAGTTTCCGATCAAATAAACTATCATCAACAATAAAAATATGAAAATTTCATTCCATTGCTGCCATATCCATTGCAGAGAAAACTGAAGATTTTATCTTAAAATCAATGAACCCAGATGTAATATCTTCATGATGCGAAGAAGAAACCATCACAAGATCAAAGAAATAACTATCTTTAGGGGATAATAAGAGATTTAGAAAGAAAAAAAAGAAAAAGGAGATGAAATTTTATTTCTCTGGTTTTTGCATTTAAATGATAATAATGTTAGGTTTGATAAATTTTAGAATCGTGCTTGAAAGATAAAATAAGGATTTTTGTCAGGCCTATGTCTAAGTATAATTTAGCTAATTATACTTCTTATTTTTGTTATCTAGTGGAAATTCTATAAGAGTATCTCCAATAGTACTTCAAAGTGAAGGAAAATATCAGAAAAATGAAAGAATTCCATTTTAATGGTATTTCATTTTGAGAATAAAAGTAAGGATATGAACAGTTTTTTTTCTTAAATTTGAGAGAACACTATTCACAATTTCAATTTGATGTTAAATTTTTTTATTTACAGCAAGGTCTTTTATTTTTTTTGATAATCTTTATTTTATGCATAAACAAAACATTAACACTAAACATGACTTTTATAATTTTATATCTAAGAAGTATATACTAATTAAACTTCTTAAAATATAATTACCAATAATTAGTTATTAAAATATAATTTTTAAATCTATAGTTTTTATAAATTATAATATATAAACAAAAGAAAACAAAATAGAAAACAATACCATTATTATAGTTTGATTGATCATTTGTGAGAAAAATATAGTAATAGCATTGTTTAAGTACAATTCTACTATTGCTTTATATGTTGTTATGTATTTTTATTAATGTAATAAATATTTATTTTTTTATAAGTTCAAAGTTTAGTAAAATTATAGGATTTAATAATAAGTGAATATAATTTTAAATCTTATGAAATAAAAGGTGTTATTTACAATAAATAAAAATTGAAAATCAATATAATAATAATTGAGAGAGAAAATGAGAAAAACTATTGGAACAAATCAAAACTTCATTTTAAATTTATTTCATTTTGAAGAAAAAAATGAGAGAAATCATTGGAAATGGTCTTAAAAAAAAAGGTAAAAAGCCTGCAAACTGCAGACTATTATTGCTAATTGCCTAACTTGCAAGAACTTTAATTACTTCCACGAGTTTACAAGATCAACCAGAAAACCAGAATGTAGAAACATAAATAAACTCCTAAATTAGAAAACAAAATAGACATTACATCTCAAACCTGAACCGATAAACCTACATAATGTTGCCTTGGTAAGATGCTTCAGCAATTACAGAGCCAACCTCACGCATAAAGTCAGTCTTCTGCAACACAAGTTCCATTTCTTTAGCCTGCAACAACTTCCACTTCTCTTCCAGTTTCTTCTTAGTCTCCACAGCCACCATGCTCCATTTCTGTTTCACAAACCGTTCACCCACACCTAAACTCGCAATGGTTCCAACAAGAAACGAGTCTTCAAACCAGTCAGATGCTCTCATCACACCAAGAGACATTGAATCTCCAGTAATCATCACTTCTTTATCTACTTGTATCTTCTTGCCATTAACCAACACCTCTCTATCTTCTTCTTCTTCTTCTTCTTCTTCCTTCTCACCATCACCCAACACCTCTCTATCTTCTTCTACATTTTCACCATTAGCTTCCGAAAAGTCCAGTTTCTTCTTTAGCGACCCATCAGATTCAACTTCTTTCTCTACCTCTTTACCATGAGGCTTCACAGATTCAAGTTTCTTCTCACTCTTCTTCACATTAGGCCTGAGAGCCATTCCATTAGATCCCCAAATATACTTGGACAGCTTAAAACATTCCATATCATGAGCTTTCGGCATAGACTCTACACCTCTCTGCACTTTCTTCATATACTTCTTCCTCAGAGACCTAATCTTCTCAGTAGCTTGAATCTTACTAGCCTCAAAGCTAATTGATTTCTTGATGTAATCATAAAACTCATCCATATCTTCGTACGGACTCTTCCCTGTCACAGAATTGAAATCGATCATACCTTGTAGCAGAGAGATCTCATCTTCTTCGCTAAACAGTCGCTGAAACAGAGGCTTCTTGGGATCCTTCTTGGACCTCTTCGCATGAACCTCCCTCGGGGAGATCTTTTCACTCGAACGCTTAGATCCCGTTATCCAAGGACTCGCGACGGTTACGGCGGTGGGATTCTTAGATCCGGAAGCAACAGCGCGCCTTGCTGGAGTTTTTGGATTCTTTGCAGGCGGAATGATGACGCGATTTATGAGATCGTCTTCTTCTTCAGATGAAGATTCGTCGGATATCTGTTCTTCAGCTTCTCCGGATAGAGTCTCGACTTCATCTTCCTCGCTTGAAGATGATTTTGGTGGGTCTTCTAATGGGTTTAGTTTCTTCTTAGCCATCTATGGAGTAAAGAAGAAAGAGAGGGATTGGAAGTTAAAGCTTTAGGTTTGGACCGGACACAAGTCGAGGAAGAGTTCCACTGAAAGAATATATATAGGAAAAATGATATTGTTGCGAAAAAAAAAACAAGAAAAAATGTCCAATTGATAATTTCGTAATTTAATATGAAATCCAACTGAAAATTTGTTGATTTATCTAGCTAATTTAAAAGGGAAATGAGATAAGAAAACGATAAACTTAGAATTTAAAAGAGAATACACGAAATTGAGAGCAAATAGTTTCTTATTCCGAATCTGCGTAAGAACTGGTACAAAAAGAAGAACTGGTACAAAAAGAGTAGCCGAAAACCCTAAGAACGAAAAATCCTAGTTGAGACGCAGCTCGCTAACAGAAAACGGAAATATTCCTAAATGCTAATTTTGGTGGTGAGAGCTCTGAAAATTGTGTCCCTGCTTCTGCCCTATGCCTCCTGCTTATATACTCCTCCTTAGGCGGTTTTAGTCTTTCCATTTCGCCCGAAACCGAATATATCGGGAACTTTCCATTTCTGTCGATCCTTCCTTTTCTTCCGCGGAAATATTCTATTTATCTTCAAACTTGCCTTTTATCTTCTGTCTGCGAGTAAACCACCAAACCGTTATCGTATCTTCGGGTTTGATTTCGTTAATATCGCGAGATGGGTTTTTATCGTGTTTTAGGACCTTTCGGGCCGTTTTACGATAAAAACCGTTTTACGACTTTATACGAGACCGTTTCCTAATATGATGCCGTTTTTATGATTTTCTCGTCGTTTTTTATTAAAAACGCGTTTTTTATGATTTTAACGAAAAATCTCGGATAAATCGTATAGTTTAAGCGATGTTCGGTATCTTGCTTAACTGTTACCGTTTTATACGACTTCTTCGAGTTCTTTTCGAGAAAGCGGAGTTTTACGGTTTTTATGGTAGAATTCGAATGATAAATCGGATCGAGACAAAACGAGAGACATTTCGGCCGTGGTTCAGAATGTGACCGTGTCGAAGGACGTAAGTGTTGAATCGGGGATGAGGGAGATCCGGGAGATCTCTAGTTCGCATGTTGGCAATCTAGTCGGGGAGTGCCTAGTTCGCCTGCTGGCGAACTAGTTGGAAGCTTCTAGTTCGCCTGCTGGCGAACTAAGCCAAGCTGGCTTATTTCGCAAGCAGGCGAACTAGTTGGTGAGCCTCTAGTTCGCCTGCTGGCAAACTAAGCCAGCTTGGCGTAGTTCGCCAGCAGGCGAACTAGTTGCGACTACTTTGCGCTTCATGGCTGTTTTGGTCTTTTGCGGTTTTGTAAAACGATTTCTCGAGTTTTATAAAACGGCTTCTCGAGTTTTATAAAACGATCTTCGAGTTTTATAAAACGGCTTTTCCAGTTTTATAAAACGATCTTCGAGTTTTATAAAATGATCTTCGAGTTTTATAAAACGGCTTCTCGAGTTTTATAAAACGATCTTCGAGTTTTATAAAACGATATTCGAGTTTTATAAAACGGCTTCTCGAGTTTTATAAAACGGCTTCTCGAGTTTTATAAAACGATCTTCAAGCTTTATAAAACGATCTTCGAGTTTTATAAAACGGCTTCTCGAGTTTCATAAAACGATCTTTGAGTTTTATAAAACGGCTTCTCGTTTTATAAAATGACTTCTTGGGTTTTATAAAACTATTCCTTTTATATTTTTGCGGGGAATTTTGGCTATTGATTCCGTTGTACCGGTTTTGACCCCAACAGTTAGCCCCCCCAGCTCGTAAGAATCGTGGGGTTCTTGCGAGTGGATTGAGCTTGTTTGGCGAGTTTGGTAGAATTAGGCGGAACTTTAATGGCCAAAAGTCCAAGGGTGAATAGTAAAATTCTTTCTTATAAGTAGATGGAGTAAAATTTTGAATTCTTTACCCCATTTTCTACAACTTATCCAAGAAACTTTTCTCTCTATTTTCTTTGAGGATCTTCAAACATGTTTTCAGGAAGAAGGACTCGTTCCTCAACTAGCTCCAATTCTCGCAATTCTGAGGGAACGAGCTCGCAGCGTCCAGTTTCAGCTCCGAAAGAAGAGTATTCGTCCCCGTTAATCGATCCGACGGACCGTGAGGCTTTTTGGGCGTTGGGAGATGAGTCGAGATCCGCTAGGCCTGGGACTTGGGTTCCAGCTTTGTCGGACGTCGATCAAACTTCCGGATATCCGAGCTCGGCTCTTTTTAACAGTATCGATTAAATGCGCGAATTTTGCCGAGTTCCAGAGGATGTCGAGTTTCGTCTTCCACTTGCCGGGGAGGGCAACAAGGATGCGCCCGAGGGTTTCTTCACTTGTTACAACATTTTCTTGCAACAATGCCACTTATGGTTTCTGATCCCGGAAATCATTGTTCATTACCTTCACAGTCTGGGGCTATCGATCAGTCAGCTGACTCCCCCTGGTTTAAAGGAACTCGTTGGTCTCTTGATGCTGAGTTATGAGCCGGGAATTACCCTTAACGTCGATCATCTCGAGAGCCTGTTGAAGCCCACATGGCAGTCGCAGAGGATCACTCTATGCCCTCGTGAAGAAATTGTTACGAGCTGCTCAACGCTCTCTACTTCTTGGAAGAAAAATTTCTTCTACGTTCGTATTGACAGTGCGTCAGTCGAGGAGGATTGCATTCCGCTTTTTATGACCGTATGGGGTCGGAAAAGTATGTGAATCGAGTTCATACGAATCTTCTTCCTCTTGTTTCTTTTTTAAAATTTGTTTCTGTTTTTCCGCAGTGACCAACCCTTTGCCTCCGTATCCCGTGGATCTCTCGAACATCACCACATCTCTTAAACGTGGTGAAGTTGGCTGGTGCAGTTTTTCTCCGCAACGCGTCCGCCAAGCGGTTGCCCTCTTCCGATCTCGACTCTTTGCGGATTCTCCGATTTATGAAGAGGATCCATTTATCGGGGAGTTTATTCCGTATGTTCCCTCTATGAGGAGTGGCAAGTCAAGCTTTCAAAGGGATAAAAATCCGGTTGTCGAAGATGATGATTCTGAACGTGTGGCTTCTCCTGACAATATTTTCAAGGACTTCCTTGATAGTCAAACGGAAGAAGGCGCCTGGACGAAAGCGGGCGGATCATCGACCTCCCATTTTCCGGACATCGACCATGATCAAGTCCCGGAGTTTATTAGGGGGTCTGAGGAAGCTAAGGAGGTACGTGTGTTTATTATTTTCTTTTTTGAGCAGTTTCATCATTGGATGATATCGCTTAATTCTTTTCTTTGGTAGGGTTTCCTTGTCATGAGCCGGGCCCTAGACAGCCGTACTGCTGAAGCTCGCCTTGCCGAGTTTCGAGCGAACATGGCTGAAAAAGAAGTTGCTCGTCTTCGGGCAGAGGCCAAGGCCAACCGAGCCGAAGAAGTGGTTGCAAGGGAGGTTGCTCGCGTGAGGGATGAATGTGCGGCTAGATCTTGCCGCGCCAAGGAGCTTTCTGATCAAAGGATTCGTCGTGCTCGTCGTGCGGGCAAACGAGAGGTTGCCGAAGAGATGAAGGCTCGTCGTGAGCGATTTGCAACCGGTTGTTCGGATGCTGAAGTTGCTCAACATGCGTACGGTGATTATCGTGAATGTGGCGGGATCGTTCGTGGGTTATCCCTAACTCAGAATGAAAGATATTCGTTTTCTGAGGAATTCTCCGTGCGGCGGGGACACTTGGATCAGGAAAGAGATATGCAGCCTGAATTTTTCGACCTTAAGGCGCGCATGTGGGATCAATGGAATCCCATTGTGGTATCGCCGGATTCAGTCGAAGTTGGACCTGGGATCTCGGATGTGGATGGTGAAGTCGATCAGTCTGCGTTTGATGATTTCAATGTGTGATGTTATTAGTTTTTCGAATTTCGTTGTTGTTTTCCCGAGACTGGTCGTTGGTGGCTTTGAATCCCTACCGCTGGGCAGTGTGTATTCGAAGATTTTCTAATAAGAAAATATTTTCTAAGTACGAAATTCGTGTTTTGTTTTAGATGTGAGGGAAGAATACGAGTTGTCGTCTCTTATCTAACTCTTTGGTGTAAATCGTCCGATTTGTTTAACTAGGGATGTTTCGATTTTCGCGAGTGTTTAGATGTGGGCGAAGAGACATGCCTTTAGGATCTCGATTCATGCCTTGATACGTTAGCGACCAGTGTGCTGGGTTTAGGGCAAGCCCTAGGTTTACTTTCGGGTTGGGGCTATGCGATGACTAGTCGGCTTTTGTTTTGCCCGTTGCGATTTTAGCCTGACTCCATACCGATTTAGAATCCGCGATAGGTTCTCGGCTTATATGATTCGTATGGTTGGAATTGAGCATCTCACCGGGAACAATTTCTAAGTTGCCCGGAAGTGCTGACCAAAAATTTGGATTTCTTTTATAGCGCGCTATTTTATCCTAGTCGGATGTATGCGGACCGATAGGTCGATGCGTTTGTTTAGGACGGCTAGCGTGCTCGACGGGGCCAATCGCTGAGCGTTCGTTTTTTTATAGTCGCGGACGGACTTGGGGAAATATTTTTCTTGAGAGTTTAGGCGACGTCTCGCCAGTTCTTTCTGAAAATATTTTGATATGCGAGTTTTATAAAAACGATTAAATGGTTGTTACTGCGGAAGCGATTTTCCGGATGTTTGGAATGTTTTTGCGTTTTCGATAGTAGTGGAGATATTCTAACTTTGTATTTATTAAAAAATTTGAAAATTTTTCGATTACAAAGCGAAAATGTTTTTTAAAAAAATTTGTAAGTATACGAATACTCGTATACTCACCCACTCCCCCCTGTTTTGGAAGGGGGGGATAGCTGAACTCGTCTTTAGGCGAGCTGCATACGTATTCCTTTCGGAAATCAAGCCATCTCGTAGTTCTGATTGTTTGTGCGAGTGTGCTTACTCGGCTGTCGCAGACTTATCGATCGCTTCAGTTGCGGGATCGATGTCTTTGTCTGGGGTTGTCTCCTCCGGCCGGGTGGAAGAGATGGGTGCGGAAACTTCTGGTTTCTCGGCCGTTGCTTGCTTTGGATCATCTTCTGCGGGCGGTGG